CCACACACGCCCACTGACACACATACAGATACACAGACACACACTAACACACATGCAGATACCCAGGCACAGACACACTAACACACACAGAAACACACACACAGATACACATACTAACACACGCAGATAAACAGATACAAACACTGACACACATGCAGATACACAGACACATAGATACAAACACTGATAAATATGCAGATGCACAGACATACAGATACACACACTGACACACATGTAGATACACAGACACTAGGATACACACACAGACACATACAGATACAGACACAAAGCTACAGATACACTGACACACATGCAGATACACAAACACACAGATGCACAAACTGACACACATACAGGCACACTGACACAGATACACACACTGACACATACAGATACACAGACATACAGATACACACACTGACACACATACAGATAATGACACACACAATGACAAACATACAGACACACATGATGGTCATTTTTTTAGCCACCCTCCTGAATCATACTTTTTGGGTGGCTTCTGGCTGGCTGGGGCTGTTGGAAGTCAGTCGCCCAACCTCTTCTCCCACTACTTGTATCCATAGAAACATAGAAACATAGAATGTGACGTCAGATAAGAACCATTCGGCCCATCTAGTCTGCTCAATTTTCTAAATACTTTCATTAGTCCCTAGCCTTATTTTATAGTTATATACATACAATATAAGGTGGAGTATGTAAGCAATAATTCTGCAATAAATGTCCCTTAGTAGTTCCTTATTTCTGCTGAATTTCTGTAAATGCACATATTAGACATGTGCGATTCATTTTATTCCGAATGTACATTTGTACAAATTTCATGCCATTCCCGAAGTCCTGAAGCGCCGAGGTGACAAAGTTCGGTAGTTCGGAAGCGCCGAAGCTCTGAAGTGCCGATGTGATTCGGATTTCATATAATATGTGCTCTGTAGTGCTCAGTTCAGAGCAGGCTCCTGATTGGTTCACGAGCTCAGCCTCTGACGAAGGTGCATCACAGCACCGAAACGCGCGTCGGGTTGAAGGAGGTTTTTCTCCTTCACTTTCACTCACTTTTTATTTTCACTTCTAGGGCACTATTTCACGATGTGTAGGTAACCAGCATTCTAAGCATGGTTCTACACATTAGCACTATTATTTCCTAATTTTTCACCTTTTCCTCCTGTCACTCCTGATATGCTATCTAGATTGGAATTATCTATTTGATTGAGGAATCTGGACTGGCTCTGTATGTATTTGAGGGGGCAACAGATACTCTTTGTACCCCATAGCGATTTAGGAAACCACTAACTTAAGATTTATCATTTATGACATATTTTGTGATTAATCTACGAATTTTCATGTAGACTTTTTTCCTTTTATTATATGTTACTTGGTATCCAGCTAAATGCTGTTATCCTAAATTGCTGATTGCTTAACTACACTCTTATTGTAGCTTTTCTGATACAGCGGGCTTTGCTACAAGTGTTACTTTATATACAGCCAATATTCAAAGTTCCTCCTTGACTGATTGTCTTTTCCATCTAGATTACAGGAGTTAATTTAAAGGCTCATTCCACAACCGCTTTTACTGTTGACATGGACATACTATGGTTGATTATATTAAAGTCCTGAGTCTCAAATAGATTCTTTACGTCTAAGAGTCCTTTAGACAGGAGAAGAGCCATTTAGGCTATTTTAATCACTTGAATCTACGTATGAACCCTCTCTATATTCCGACATATTGATGGCTATTTTGATTTAATTATCTATTATCTACTAATATTTTGTCCAGCTGACAGTCCTGGTTCTGGTTTTAGTGACCAGTAACAGGAAAGTCATTTTCTATATAGCTAATAACTCCCGAACACTTTACCGTTCGGGACTTTCCTACTATACCAGATAGACCGACCCCAGGTAGCTGCAGTTATGGAACTCTTTTCGGATTCAATTGCCCGAACAACCGGTGAAATAAAAACTTTACTCGACGATATTGAGAACTGTGTTCGTGGGATCTGAGCACTATTCGTCTATATTGTGCGCTCAGATCCAAGCTATCAGGGGGTATGTGGAACATGGAGAATACGTTCGGTGAAATATAAGTTACAGATTTTAATACAGTTTTGTTAAAATATAAAAAGGACATGTTTTTCTCTACCTGGAGATAATTAGGTTCTCTTCAACCACTTAAGTTAATTATCTCCAGGATAAAGAGGAGGGGTTGCACTGTTACTGTGGGTGTGTTTAATAATTGTACTATAAACCGATTGGTTCTGTATATTTTGTCACGTTCTTCCACAAGGTCCCCTGTAGGAGTTCCCTTTCTGGGAGATCATCATAAAAGGGCTGTGTTTGGGCATCAATAAACCAGATCGTTTTACCCCTTCATGAAGTCTCGACTCATGTTTGGGGGAATTGGGAGCTGTAATCACTATTTCGTTATTATTCTGCTGGGAATTCGGGAGAAGCTGCAAGGATCAGTACTGCAGAGCTAATAGGATCCTTTACAGTGAATAAACCCCAAATGTATAGTCAATGATTTGCTAGTTACAATGGGAGTCCCTTTAACATAAAATTGAGGTTGGCAAGACATATAGAAATGCTAATGTTTTAAAAAACAAAATAGTATGTTTAAACTTGGAGAAGAGATTGGTTTTCGGTTAATGTGTTTAAATAAAATTTTTAGCATGTATTGCAAGCTTATTAGGCCCTATAAACACTCACACTTTCCCTACGCTACAGAGTGGAAATTAATTTGCGACACAATTTTAGTGCAATGATATTAACATATTAAAGTGTGACTCTTGGAAAATGCACACTAATATGTTTTACAGCACCAAAAAACTGACAAGGAAAAGCTAGACTAGCAGAACTGGAAAATGTTTCTTCCTGTGTTAGTGAATAAAGCCCTTGCAATTGTACAATGTTGCAGAACATGTCAGTGCTATAAAAATAATAACTATTAGTTCAGAAAATGTTATTACTTGAATAAGAGTATGCTAAGATAGGTGTATATTAACCCCTTTATTATCTAGGAGATACTGGAAATATCACTTTAAACAAAACAATAAACACACAAAAAAAAAGAAATTCCCTAGTGGATTCTTATAAATCTTCCCACTAATGGACATGAGTTGTGTGAAAAAAATCTATGTTCTCTTTGATAAACATATTGATTACAGAAGAGAAAAAAGCAGAGGTGGAAATGCAGATAAATTGGTGTGAGTGAATAATGTGATAGATTATTTTTATCATTTAGATGTTTCCGGGTTCGACCTCCTATGAGAATACCCCTTAGATTACACATTGACGTTGGAGTCAAATTGGTTAAAACTGGGATGGCCAAAAGGTAGATCCCCATTTGTTGCAGAACTACACAGCCACTCTGAAGCTTTGTCTGCCTTGGGCCAAAGAGGGTGCGGATTAGAAAGAAGTATCACAAACTATAAGTACAAACTAGCCCCCCTCTCCGCATACTTACTCCTCTCCTAAAAAAAGGAATTGCAAACATTTATGAAATATTAACTCTGTTGTTGCCTGACCCAAAAAATAGTAGTCTAGACACCAAGCAGACAACAGGAACATATCAACAGCTGTCTGAGTTTGTAACTCCTGATGTATCTTGAGTGGGTCATCATGCAAACTTTATTTTCAGCGGTGCATAAATTAATTACACGCATTTAATAACCAAAATATCATTAGATTTCCCCTTTAATATCATCAAGGCAATGCGCCAGGGAAGCTCTTAATAGTTCAGAGGGCCATAACAGGCCATTATCCTTGTGTAATGCTATTATAGAACCAATTAGGTACCATTATGATGGGTTTTTTTCTCTCTTTTTTTTCTGTGTATGTGATTTGATCCAATCACTTCTCTCTTTGGCTTGAATGATACAAGCATGAACACTTTAGTTTGCACAAGGCTGAGAGAGGCTCTCCATCCAACCATGCCTTTTCCTCCCCTCCTTTCCTCAGGTCTCTGATGCATTTTAAAAAGTAATTGCTAGGGTCCCACTGCATAATATTTACAGTGGGAAGAAGTCATAAATCCAAGGACCCCATGCTGGGAAGAAAATCAAACTTTGTCTGTGTTACCGCTTGCAAAGCGCATCCCTGTGCAAGGAGTGCAGTAAAAGCCATCCACATGGGCAATTAGAGGACTGATTGTCAGTTACAAGCCAGCAGCTAGGATCCTCAGGGCACCCAGAGCAATCTGTGCCATGTACAGGAGGAGGGGGGGGGGGGGCAGCCCCTGCTAGATTCAGCAGCCAGCACTCCTCGTACTCTCAGACTCAAAACACAGCACTCAGAGAACCATCTAACCATCAGTTCAGTGTATCCTGCCCCAACACCACTCACCCACACAGGGGGGCAATTCTCACCTCTACTTCTCCAGAGATACCAACTCTCTTCACCAGTCAGCCTGACCCAGATCTGCCCAAAGGTGAGTTAATCCTAAACTCCACACAGATTTTTTTGAGCTCCTTTACAAACCATTAAATCTGTTTTATCAAAAAGCCCACTAACTGTGGATGCTAGTATTTACTGGGCCACAAAAGGGTTAACTATACACCACTCACCTAGTGAGCTAGCCTTACTGGAGCATGCACTCTCAAGCAACAAATTCCACTCAAATATGACTGAATTAGCCAAGATCAGTCAAAAAGTCACCTCCACTCACTCAGGGAAAAAGTCCCACTCACTCAATGAGCCAGCTCCACCAATGCCCAGGACAATACAGCAAGGATGCTTATAAAGTGATGTTGTTTGCTGGGAGGTGACGCAGTGCACCTCGTGATTCATTAGTGGTACCCAGCAGACCTATCCGTGCTACTGACTGCACACAGAGCTACAAATAATCCGATTAGGGCCAATTATGCGTGAGATTATAAAGGCAAGTGCTGAAAGGCGAGGCAGGCAGCAAACAGCAGCAGCAGACAGCTGGCCCCTCATCAGAGCTCACACACACTGCTCTGGCTTCAGCACCAAGAGGAGGACAGCTCCTTCCTCTCACCAGCCCTGCTCCTGCCCAAACTCTCCTCTGAGCCCTGGCTCTCCCCAGCTGTATTCCTTTATTACTCCCCAGCTGCCTCTCATTTTCCTTTATGACCCAACTGTTCTTTTTGGGGGGGTTTCTATACAAAGTATCAGCTTTGCCAAAGTTGCTTGCTGCATGCTTGGTCCCATCTCTCTGTGATCTCTCTCATTCACGCTGGGTTTTAAATGTATTGCAAATATTAGGTCATCTCTGACAATCTACATTCTTTACCCAACGTTCTACTCTACGTGGTAGGGCCACCAACCCTCCATGACTGCTGATACCTCCAGGTCCTTCACCTAGCCTGGTTTGGATAGTGTCCCATCTCTGCCCTCTGTCTCACTCCTACTACCACCCAAGTACCTGGTATCTCTGAACCCATCTATTGTATACCAAGACCAAAGGAACTACAAGATCAGACCTTCCTGACTGGCTCCAGGTAACTACATGTGTTATATATGTGTAGATTATAGCCCTCATTTCATCAAATACAGATTACAGCATTACAGTAAATACGAGTAGATATAGATTTTTTTTTTTTATCATATATATTTTTATTTATAATTCTATTTCTTTATAAAAAAAATTTTACACGTTGATTTCATGTTCTCTAACATGTTTGCGTTTTACAAAAACAGTCCACAAAGTTAATAGAAAATGTGTATTTAGAGTCAATTCTGATGAGGGGAAAAAAATAACTTTTTTTTTTCTACTTTCAACCCTTTGTAAAGATTCAAGTGATATGGTCATTTGAAATCTTTTTCCTCATATATCTTGCTGAGTAAGAGACGTTGTGAACAGATTTTCATCCTATACAAAGAACAATATATTGCTTGTGAAGTTCAGTGTGTAATTAGTCAGGCTAACTATAAAAAAAAAAAAAAAAGGTTTGTTACATTTTTGAAACGCATATACTTCACACTAGACAGTTCGGTTTATGTGCAAATAATAATTATGGCGCAGTTATTGAAAGTGCAGCAATCACTATGGAAACCAATGGAATGTCCCTGCTGATTGCTCGTTTTTTGACCCTTGCTTCAGAATTGCTGTCCATAAATGACTCCTATGTTTTGTAGCATACGGATGGATCAATTATGGGTAAACGTTGTAAAAGTTAAGGGACCACCAAGAACATTCGACTGGTTTCCATGGTGATTACTGGACTTTTAGAACTTTATGCATAGCCCACGGTGCGTTTGCTTAGATCTGCCCCTGTGCAGGTGTTTTAGGTCTATCGAGATATATTATATTTGTTAGAATGGACAAAAAGACTCTTGAAAGGTTTATTTACTAAACAGCAAAGTACACTGAATTGTAAACCGAATTGCAAAATGTAATTTAAAATATTAAATTAAAATAACCAAGCTGTGAGTGACTGCTGATCTGAAGATTATTTTCAATTATTTTGATGATTAAGATTATTTTTTTGCCTACGATTTTAAGTTTGGTTTTCAATTCACTAATTGGGTGCTTAGTAAATAAGCTTTCATATCGCTTTATATGTTTTTATTTTGCATAAAGTAATACATTTATTGATTTGTATGTCTGCCACAATATATTACACCTACATAGAGAGAACTGTAGTAAGCAACATAAAGGTGGGCATAGGTCCCCCCAGAAGAAATACCATTCTGTGAATAATGGACACTTATTTGCAATTAGATAGGCGGGCTCATTAGAACATCTTCTTGATTGTTTGATATCTGGATAATAATATAATTTCTGATTGATGCTATGGCAACTGACCATATGTCTTAATATGATTTATAGGGAGAAATCCGGTGAAATGTTTTATTTCCATTGCCCACCGCAGCTGGAAGGTGAGTCCATGCCTCTCTAACTCCATGTTTATAGACTGAATCATGTCATAAAAGGCTAATATCCCGTGAAGCAGCATTAAGGATAATCTGCTATGAATGTCATCATATTTTAAACACGACTAACTCAGAGAGCTGTATATTACTAAATATTGTAACAAGATAAGGCCCATAGAACTGCACTCACTTTAATCTGCGGTGCATAAAACTGCACTCACATTAATTTGTTCTAAATTATGAATAAACGACAGACCTGCACTCACTTTAATCTGCTGTAAATTAGTAATAACCAATAGAACTTTAATCTGCTACACATAAGGAATAACTCACCGAGCTGCACTCATATTAACCTGATGCATATACGACTAACCCATGGTGCTGCATTCACTTTAATCTAAATCCACAGAGCACTCACTCATTTCTGCTGTACATTGTGAGTAATCCACTGAGCACTCACTGATATCCGCTGTACAATATGAGTAATCCACTGAGCACTCACTCATATCCGCTGTACATTATGAGTAATCCACTGAGCACTCACTCATATCTGCTGTACATTGTGAGTAATCCACTGAGCACTCACTGATATCCGCTGTACAATATGAGTAATCCACTGAGCACTCACTGATATCCGCTGTACAATATGAGTAATCCACTGAGCACTCACTGATATCCGCTGTACAATATGAGTAATCCACTGAGCACTCACTGATATCTGCTGTACATTATGAGTAATCCACTGAGCACTCACTCATATCTGCTGTACATTATGAGTAATCCACTGAGCACTCACTCATATCTTCGGTACATTATGAGTAATCCACTGAGCACTCACTCATATCTGCTGTACATTATGAGTAATCCACTGAGCACTCACTCATATCTTCGGTACATTATGAGTAATCCACTGAGCACTCACTCATATCTTCGGTACATTATGAGTAATCCACTGAGCCGAATTCAATTTAATCTGCTATAAATTAAGGATAAACAACAGAATTTCCCCTAATATAATCTGATGTAAATTATGAATATCCCATAGACCTGCACTCACTTTAATCTGATGTAAACAATATATGTAGCGCTGCACTCGTTTAATGAAGTGTTCTTTTTTTTAAATCTTTTATAACTTTCACACGCTCATTTCCTGGGAAACGTTTTTTGATTTTTTTTTAAGTACTCCAGTTTAAATTTCGATCTCCATCCCCTCTCTCTCATGCAAGGATCACTAATGTTGCATAAAATATGAAGTAGGGCTTTAGAAAGTCTTCCATTCGTTTCTGTAAAAGGCTGGGGGTGTAAATTGGATTTTTGTAAGGGAAAGTCTGCCTTTCCCACCTGCTCACCAGTGCCTGGGGCACAGGCTCCAGATCTGACTACACAGATGTTCACTGTCCAAAAAAAGAAAACCCCTTGTGTCAGACCTACCCCAGCTCTAGCACCCTGTCTCCATTACATTAATCTTTCATGTTGTTTTACCAACATAATGTGTGAACATCAAAGAGCTTCTAACCTCCACAGTGCCTGGGGGGCAAGGGGGATCAACAGCCCAACTCAAGCAACCACTAAGGGGTTAAAAGTAATCACAAATGCCAGCCACCAATCTCATGCCCCAGGTGCAATCACAAGCCCAAGTGAACCCAGTTGCTAATTAATAAATACAATCAATTATCGCCTTTAATTAAACACTAAATCTTTGTTTTTTTCTATCATTTTTTTTTATTTGATCTTTTTACAAACTCAGTTTGTGGACACGTTTCGCCCCCAGGCAGACACATTTATCTTTCTCCATTTGAAAGGTATCAGGGTTTGTTTTGGCTAATTTATTCAACCATACAATTTCCTGCACTTGTGATCATGTCATAATTGGGATTTGGTTCCACTTTTTTTTTTTTTTAAATGAACATAATGCTATGTGGCTATCTTGTTGAATGGTACGATTGATATCCATTTCATACTTCATTAATTATATATGTGTGTTTGTTGATTTAGCTCTATATACACATACACACACATATATAATTAAGAGGATTTTCTAACATATACCAATTGCTGCCATAACTTAATAACTGTTAAGTATAATGCACACACATTTGTGTATTTTATATATAATTATTACTGGCTCACACGAATAGCCATAAATAGTTTATAACTATATATACAGTACACTCATATATCTAGTCTTTATTATTTTTCTATTTTATTGCATTTTTTTAGACATGATCGTACAAAAATATTAATTTCTCCTTAAAAAAAAAAAAAAACACACACACACACATACACACACACACACACATACAAACGTGTTTCGGTCGAAATATACCTTACAAGATAATTCAGGGTAACTTAAAATTCTGACAGATTCCCTCTGTAGACAAACTAACAACTAACAGGATTTTATATCTATTTATATCTATCTAAAATAAATAAATTTAAAAAAAAAATTATATATATATTTATATTATTTATATATATATATATATATATATATATATATATATATATACACACAGACTGATTTATATATATATATATATATATATATATATAATAGTTTTTTATTACTTCTACCAGTTCTACCATGTATTAATGATTATTCTTAAAGGGATTAAATTATTTTAATAACATGTTTCAAACAGTTCAACATAATGATTTGATTTCCTTTGTAAAACTCATTCTGCCTCCTTACCAATCCATACAATGTCCTGGTATGACCCCCCCAATACCCTGCCTGGATAGATAGCAGTGATTAATATCTGTATATTTAGATATACATAAAATCACCAAAAATCAAACGAATGCTGCTCGATTGAAAAGCACGGACACTTTAAAACTCAAAGCTAGATTAGTAACGAGTATAATTACTGAACTAAGAAATTAAGAGCCAATAATAGAGGGTTTATTTATTAAACACTGTAGTTTAGTGAAAATAAGGTCAAATTGGAAAAATACAGGAAATAATTGGCTAAACAGTGAATTGTTATGTATTGTAAGCCGAATTGCAAAATTTATCAAAAATAGCTAATTTATTTTTTGGGGCAAAAATGTCATCTCAAAATCAGCTACAATATCACATATTGGATATTTTAGCCTAAATTGTGCAATTTAGTTTTCGGTTCACCAGCAATTCGCTGTTTAGTGAATACATGTTTCTTTTGTATTTAATTAAAACCAATCGAATTATACAATATTTTAAAATAAATCCCACTTCTACAGGGGAATTCTTAATTTGCAACAACAGGCACCAAATTCCCAGATCTAACAAGCACTTTAATTCACACTGAATTCTTCCTTTAGTATATAAGCCTGTATGTGCTTACAGTTACTTCTGATAATAACAATATAATCGTCAGTGTTCGCATTATTATATAATGTAATTAGTATGATTTCACTTAATGGACCTTTTAAACGAAAAGTCTCAACATAATAATCTCAGCACATTTATTGCTCACATACCGCATCTCCTAGAATTAAATACATCTGATGTTCTATAACATGACTGATATTACAGCAAGTACCAAAAGAAATAACTGAATGAATAGGATTGCTTTTATGAGGCTGTGAATGTATATGGGAGCTAGTGAGAAACTATATAATGTGGGGAATGGTGGGCAAAGTTCTTCAAGCGGAGCTGTCTCCATGGAAACCAATTGATGGCTACATGTAGAACCTTGCCCACCGTTGTCCCTTTAAATGACCCTCAATGTCCTGTGCTGGCATTTTTAAGCGTAGTGTGGCTGCTGAACGTCTTCTTGGAGGACCTCCATGTGCCTACATTAAGCTTCTCATTTGGGGTGCACAATATGTTTGTATTTTGTGACTAATCCTCTTGGGGGGCTAAGTGCAATATATTGGGGGGTTGTTTTTTTTGTGCCTATGTAGAGGAGAATAAACTATGTCATTATCGTAATTTTCTAGTAGTTCTGTTACTTAGAGTTTCCAGAGTCAGAGATCATTACAAGGGGGGTGTCTGATGCTTGTTACTCTCTCAGTAGGGTCTGCTCCATTTGGGGGTCACTCGGCAGCCGAGTTTGATGATGGCTTTCTTCGGAGGAAACAGAGAAGAAATCGAACCACTTTCACACTGCAACAGGTACTTAGAACGGGTAGAGAATGATCTGGGAAAGAGACAACGCATGGCAGGGCAGCTGTTGCTGTGGACTGCAACTCCCATCAATCTCTAATGTGATTACCAGCCACCAGCAGTTGTCATGAGTTCAGGTTTGGTTTATATGGTAATTTAGAACAATCTGAAGATTAGAATTTGCCCTGTCATTTTTTTTAGTTTAGCACACACACAAATGAAGAGACTGTGTGTCAATCCAAAATCATGCAATGGATGTCAGCAGTGATATAAGGAACAATTTTTAATCACATTGTTTAGGAAAGTAGACAAAACCTCACATTTAAATCTATAAGTCTATAAATATATGTTATATTTATTTATATATATATATATATAATGTTTGTGGACCCAGAACATACTTGAAAACGAGAAACGTATCAATGTTCCCTTCCTGGTAAATAATAGAAATAGATAAATAGTAAAAAAAAATAAAAATAAAGATATATATATATATATATATATATATATATATATATATATATATATATATATATATACACACACACACACACACATAAATAAACTAATAGGTGCTCAATGTAAAAATGCAATATGACTGCTTTTTCACTTGACTGCATTCTTAGAGATCTTTGTACACATCATATCCTTAGGGGAGTATAACAGATATACAGCCATCTTTGTACATGGGGAATCAGATGAAATAGGTTGAGCAGATTTCGAGGAATAATCTAATGAATCTGATATCCTGTCTTCATAACTTGTGTGTATTTTCACTAATAAATCAGTTTAGGACTAAAATAATTTAGAGCCAGATTTCATTCCCCCCTCCTTCCTTACTTATTGGATTAGATGAAAGAGGCCTTGCATATGGAAAGAAAATAACCATATATTATTCATATTGGGTTGCAAAGAATTAGACGACATAGTAGCAACCATTTTACTGAAGGCCTCTTAGAGGAGTGAGTGTGCCATTTTGTCAAGTCTCCCAGCAAAAAAGACTCATTATATTTACTAAACACTAAATACCTGGATTCTAAAGACAGTTTAACCCCTTAAGGACCAAACTTCTGGAATAAAAGGGAATCATGACATGTCACACATGTCATGTGTCCTTAAGGGGTTAAATACATTTTGTGACCATCTGCAGATTTTGATTCGTTCCGATAAACAAAGAAAATGTCAATAAAATAACAACGGCAGCAAAATCATATTTCTTAATTCATGAAATTATTATATTATTGTCATTAGATTTAACGCTGCACATTCTCACGAGGCCAATCCAAGCTCATGTGTGACAAATAAAACTGTATGTGCTATGTATCATCAGAATATACATTTATAATGCATTCTTATGCAATAGCTACTGGTAGATCTAATGTAATATAAACAGCAAAGTAAATAGAGGACTTTACGTAAATAAAATATGACAAAAACATGATAATGATAGAAAAAAAAACACGCACTCTGATCTCTGCCCTTCTTAAGGCCTTTAGGGTTGCAAACAAGCATATATAATTAATGCATTTACTACAAAGCTAGTTATAGTGAGCTGACAACCTAACTTGCAAAATTCTGGCCCGAATAGCTAGGATAAAATCTCCCATTGTAGTCAATATTGGGATTTTGTTTTCCAATTCTGCTTTTTGAGTCAAAATGTCATAGCCAGTTTAGCCAGATGTCAACCCACTGAAACTTGCTGTTTTAATAGACCCCCTATTCTTTAAAGGCATCATTTCACTCATTTCTTATTGGCATACACTGCTAGTAATTGAAATGGTTTCTAATAACGGGTATGTAGAAATAAAATAGCTATTTTTGTCTCTGTACACACCGTTTTACCTTTAGCCATCGTTTTACCTTTGTAATTACTATTGAAAGTATGTTCAGATAATTGAATGTTCTTCTCTAGAACACAAAGGAGCAAAGGCACAAGTTAAAATTTAGTTTTACTTTTCTTATAGTCTGTATATGGTGTGTCATGCAATTTTAAGATTACTCGTTGATCGAAAAATAAATGCACATTTTTTGCTTTTTTACTTTTTTATTTACACTAATGCCGGATATTATTTCTCGCAGTTATTATGTCAAACCTATGCTCAAGAACATATGCAGTCACAATTGTACTTATTTCTTCTTGGAATGTTGATGGATCTGCCCTATATTCTAAAACAGTTTAACTTTTTGCATTACATTAAACGTACAGATTAAAAAAAATATATATATATATAGTTTTTATAATGTATCAACTGTAGAAGCAGTTCAAGCTTCATGGTTGCAAGTTGTATTCTTGGCAGGGCCAACACAACCTTTCTACTTCTGAGATCAATAAAATGAGTATTATTGGCATAGAAAATAGTAAGATCTATTTATCAGCTGCTCATTCAGTTCTGGAGCGTGCTGCAAGCACTTTGAATCCCATTTAAGGGGAAAACCATGCTGTATTAGTAGATTGTTATTATTATAAGTAAACAGAATGAAATTGCCTTATCCACATTGTTACAATTATAAATGAAGTGCATCTATCAATCTCTCCGGCACTTGGGTCAAACATAATGTAAAAATAATGTTATTGAAAATATATCAACTATGAATTTGGCAGAAGTCCTAGATTGCTAACATAACCACAATTGGATATTTGCCCAGTGTAATGCAGCAACTTATAAAACATACCAGACATACCAGCATTGCATTGAACAGTATATATATATATATATATATATATATGTAGAGATTGTAGCCGTATTAGTCCAGTGATGTAGATGTAAACAACTGTTAAAATCCGTATCTTGTAATACCTTTTTTTTTTTTTTTTTAATGACAAGCTTTCGGGAGAACCTCCCTTTCACAAGTGTGAAGCATTTCTGAGCAAGACAACACATAGAATCCAAAGTTGAGTTGTGATACAGGGGTTAAAGCGACATGAGTGTAGATAATACACAGGTTTGATAGAAAATAGACACCATTTTTGCAGAGGGTCATAAATATCTTTCTGAAGAGCAGAGTGAGGGGGGAGAGAGGGAGAAGAAAAACAAACAAGCAGACAGTGCAGAAGATACATACACACACACACACACGCATAAACACATGTACATATACATAAACACATATACATACATGTACATGAACTAATATACACAAATATAAATGCACAGTCATATATATATATAAGCATACATGCATATGAGTATGGGAAATCATAGGTCTACACATAGTTACATAGTTACATAGCTGAAAAGTACTTTGTATATTGATAGAATACTATATATATATTGCAAACAATACTTAAATGCGTTCAACAGACAAATGAAAAAAGAAAATAATCAAAAATATATTTATGGAAATTACATTAACAAAACATTTGTACACATTACACAGTTTTATATTCTGTAAAATACATTTCCTTTTAGATTTTGTATCACTTAATAAACAATAAATTAAAAAATAAGAAAGGGATAGTAGCATATAACTGAATCTAAAGAGAGCTCTCTCTACCCTAACCCTGCCTTTATCACGATGACAAAAAGATTCCCTACGCTTCTCTGCCCTATCTCCTTTCCCTATCTGATCCTTTCTGTGTCCCTATCTTTCTCTAATCTTTCCATCATATCAATCAAAACTCTATATATTTGGGATATATGTCGACCAAAAGTAACTGGATCACGTTGGCCTTTTAACCAATAATTTTCACTTATTACTGACATCATCAGTGGAGTTAATCCTCCTAACGAACAAGGAACAATCCTCAGTTTAGGTCTGTGCAGTTTAGGGCCCTGCACTTGAGATTAGTGGGAGTTACAGTCTTGAGCAGCAGTTTCCTCCATATTATTTTAGCTCTTTCCCAAGCTAAATTGATGGCGGCAGCTACAACAGTTGCCTCCCAGGACTACAACTCCCACTAATCTTGGGCAGAAGCTGGGCATCTTCCAATGTTGCTCGAACAATGAACTCCTTCTCTTAATCCCCACCCTACCCTAACCCATAACCATTTTACTTTCCTACATTTACACTACCTCAATTCGCAACACCAGTCAATAGTTAAAAGTTAATGCTAACCCTAATTCTAACACCAACCCCAACTTCAACCCTAACTTACAAACTCTAGCCTATAAACATAATGTAAAATAACAGATACATAAGAATTGAGAAAATTTCTGCGTTCTACGGGCATTTATAAAACACTTGGCCTTTGGTGTCACGTTTTATTATGGAAAACCTTCCAATATTTTTTTTAAATGGAAGTTCTTATAAATATTGAGACTGCATATCATTCTGTATTAGTACCCCATTGAACCAATCCCCAAATATCCCAATAGTTCATGTTTAGGAAACTTATATAAATAGTGGGTAATAGCTTCTTGATCCAAGGAGATATCTGACTGCCATTCTGGGGTCAAGAAGGAATGTTTTCTTAGTTTGTTGCACAATTGGAAGCTCTTCAGACTGGGTTTTTTGCCTTATTTTGGATCAACAGCAAAAATCAAATGTGAGAAAGGCTGAACTTGACAGCATGTCTGAAACATGTCTCGTTTCAGTTATGTAACTATGTAACTTTTAGAACTGGGAAAGTGGGAAAATTGCTTATTTGCATGTCGAGCTAGGAATTCTGGGATAGTTGCTGAAACATGATTTCTTGTTATTTCTGTGCACGAAGCAGACTTCTCAAGGTCCAACTGGATACCCAAAAGTTATGTGTATATATATTAGTTATATAGAGTTCATTTTTTAAAATATAAAACAGAAGCTCACAGCAATCTCCTGGCTATGGGTACAGATCAATCATTATTTATCTACATATTTACATACACACTATAGCTACTGGATAGGATATCCCATGTAATCTGTACAGTGCAACTGTTTTTGCTAACAATATGTGTTAATTCCATGAGTAGTAAATAAAAAATATATATATGTATACTATGCATTCTCTTGGGGGAAAAAAAACATTTAAAGAAAATCCAATTTCTACATTCGGATACATCGGCACAACAGAGAATATCACATCTCCTTAATCAATTAAACACTCGTTAGTGTCTGTACTGCAAACATTCGGGCAGCTTTAGCCACCCGCTGCTTGAGTAGCAGTAATTATATATACACACACAAATATTTACATGCATAGGCCTGGAAAGATATCACTATGGTTTAATGGGCAGAAAAAATCTATGGTTTTATATGTAAGAAAGCAGTTTTCTATTTTACTCATCTGCTACCTTTTTTTGCTTAATACAGTTTAATGAGTCAATAACCAGTGATGAGCTCTGCGTGTATTATAATTATAGTTTTACTGTGTTTGTTTTGTGTGTTTGATCTGTAACTGGATAGAGAGAGAGCTTTGACTATCTTTTGCATACTCTGTTAAGCGAACAGTTTACCGTTGCTTATCCTGCGGTTAATGCAACTAAGGCTAATTCATTGGCCATTTTGACATTATTTTTTGTGACATCCCAATTATGACATTTGGTGTTTCTTGTTCAATGTGTAGTAGTAATATAACTGGTCTGATTCACTAATGTAACGAGAGATAGTTAAACTCCACCTTGTTCATATCCACCCCTTATGCCCGGTAATCTCTCCTACCAGGATCACCCTGTGTTTAGCTTTGAAATGTCTTTGTAATTAGACAGTTATTCTCGCCCTGCTGATAACCGACTGTTTCCTTGCAGCTGGAAGCCTTAGAAGCAGTATTCGCTCAGACACATTATCCCGATGTGTTCACCAGAGAAGAGCTTGCCATGAAAATTAACCTGACAGAAGCTAGAGTACAGGTAAGCAACCTTAAAATTGTAAAAGGGCGATCACAGAAGACATTTTTGATTTAGCGAAGTGGAGGGCCTGTGTGTCATTGAAAAAGAAAAATACAGAGCTAGGATTATGTAACAATAGTCTTGTAGAATTTGCATTGGAATTTTAGAGTAGTGCATTACTGGTAACGATAAATTAGTTTGATCATCTTTATCTATTTATATGTTGCCAATAAATTGCACAGTGCTTTGTATACAAGTGAACAGGCATTTTTAAAATAAATTTAGAAATACTTTAATACAAGTTGTAGTAGATGCAGGGAATAATCTTTTAGCAGAGGCGTTAGAGAATGATATAGTGGAATGATATAGTGGAAGAATTCTAGAAAGATCAGAAGAGACCAGGAAAATGAAGAATGAAGCCTTTGCATTTTAGAAATCAAATGGAATAATGAGATTTTCTTATTTTCTTTCTTAAAAGGGTTACAATGGGCATGGCTTGTATCTGCAGTCTATTAATGTATCTCAATGTGACTAACCACAGCAGAAGCTTGTGAATTGTCAGTACTAATGTTAGAATTGTTAGGGTTTCAAAGTAAATTTCAATTTCAGGTTAAAGTAGCCAAACTGGAAAAATTGGCTATTTTAGCCTTAAATTTGAAATTGGCTTTGACTTCACTTTGAATTTCCAACAATTCTCATTTAGTTCATAAACTTGTAGATGTCCAACTCGGCCTTCGAGTCCAAAATGTATGAGAGAGGTAGTCGGGTGCATGGATATGAATTTATTTTAAAATGTGTGTGGAGGAGGGGTTTGATACTGCTGAGAAATGAAAGAAATTGAAAAATAATGAGTTTCTAAGATACCAAGTTACAAAGGAATGAGGCAGCTTCCATTATTTAGATTTTCAATACTTTCAGTTAAAACCAACAAGTATGTTAAAAAATTGTGACTGCACAATTCCAACTGCGTTGCAGCCCAAATGACAACACAACTCATCTAATAACTGCTTAATACCAAGTGTCACAGTGCTGTAACATTTATACTGTCATCCTAAATAGTCTTAACATAACCATTAATCTGTTGTGCCTTATTGTTCTGCTGAGTTATTTGATAAATGCAGGAATCAGTATGTCACTTATTCATCATTTGCCAACTTTCTTTTGAATCATGTCATAAACCAAAGTCCTTAGTCACTTAATAGTGAACAGGTAAGGAAAACAGAAAAGTGCAACAAATGGGCCAAAACAGCCAAGCTGTATAAAAATCCAAGCTGGATTAATAGTTGGTGCTTTGCACTCGTCGTAGCAAACTGTGATTACATAGAAACATAGAATGTGACGGCAGATAAGAACCATTCGGCCCATCTAGTCTGCCAAATTTTCGAAATACTTTCATTAGTCCCTGGCCTTATCTTAAGTCTAGAATAGCCTTATACCTATCCCACGCATGCTTAAACTCCTTCACTGTTAACCTCTACCACTTCAGCTGGAAGGCTATTCCATGCACCCACTACCCTCTCAGTAAAGTAATACTTCCTGATATTATTTTTAAACCTTTGCCCCTCTAATTTAAGACTGTGTCCTCTTGTAGTTGTAGTTTTTCTTCTTTTAAATATAGTCTCCTTTACTGTGGTTCCCTTTATGTATTTAAATGTTTCTATCATTACCTCCAATCTATACATGTTAAAGGGACACTCCAGGCACCCAGACCACTTCTGCCTATTGGAGTGGTCTGGGTGCCAACTCCCATTACCCTTAACCCTGCAAGTGCAATTATTGCAATTTTTATAAACTGCAATAATTACCTTGCAGGGTTAAGTCCTCCTCTAGTGGATGTCTATCAGACAGTCACTAGAAGGACTTCCGGGGTTCTTAAAATCCGAAAAGTGTTTTAAACTACGCTGGATGTCCTCACACTATGCATGACGACCTCCAGCATCCCTGGAATCCCCATAAGAAAGCATTGAATAATGCTTTCCAAAGGGGAGGTCTAATGCGCATGGAGCGTGGGCGGAGCCTGACCCAGTGCTGAGGGACATCAGCACTGGATTCAGGTAAGTCACTGAAGAGGTTTTAACCCTTTCAGCAACATGGGATGGGGTTGGGAGGGAGGGGGCACTGCAGTATTCTGCAGTGCCAAGAAATGAGATATGTTTTCTTGGCACTGGAGAGTCCCTTTAAGATCCTTTCACCTTTCCTGGTAATTGCAATACCACAGTGCAAACCTCTGGTTAAAGTATATATAATAGTAGATGAAGCGCACTCAGTGGACTTGTGTTCACTAAATAAAAATCATTTTTATTTACATACCATAAGTTTTGTCAACGTTTCAGTCTTTGAACGTACTTTCATAAGGACATATATACATTTTTATTTTTATTTTAATTCAGCAATTTTGAACTTAATGTTGCAATTTTCCAAATAATTGATTGTTTATAGAACAAACCCCATAGAATTTGAAGACAGAATCAATCATAGTGTGCAAGTCCAGCCAACCAGTTTCCCTATCATCTCTATTACATCTTCGTCAATTCTATATTTAGTATAAGCTGATGTCTACAACAATCGTTTTACAACTCCATTAATGTTGTATTCCATGCCAGATCATCTGGAAACTATTCAATGTATTAATCCACCCTTTCCGATGTACTTATGTTTTAATGAAACCCTTTAAATAAGTAATAGTCACATATGGTAGATATTATTCAAGGAGTATACTTTTATTTTTTTTTTTTTACTTTCGCTGTTAGAGGGTTGAGTAAAAGACTGCTGTCCCCCACCAAAATCTGACAATTAATAAAATAGACAAAAAGACATGGTTATTTTTTTTGTTTGACTATGTAGTAAGGTGTTAGATGTGTACCCATTAGCATAATTCTTTACACATATTGCATTTCTTTTATTTTTGTTTACTCTGCTTTTGTACGTATGCTCTACGCTCTCTGTGACTGTGAGAATTAAACACCGCGAGAAATATTGTTAAAGTTAGAATGGGTTCCAAACTGGCTCAGGCTCTGTGTAATACATAAAACATAATCACTACCAGAACAAAGCAAAGTGATAATATAACATAACATATTCAATATAATATCACAGTTAATTAGGGTAGTTAAAAACACTCATCCTTACATGTTCAGCTGTATATATGTTATAGATTGGTGCCCACCGGACTTCATAGTAAAAGTTGGTACTTGATGTAAGTGCTTTTACTTGGCTGATAACTTTTGATTTGGCTGAATCATATAACCAAAACTCCTCTTTTCTATAGTATATATACATTAGTGTTACCATGGAGCACAATTCTGTTTTTGTGTAATATGTAATTAATTCCGGTGATAGATATCCATCAGGATACATAACAACCTCCAAGCTTATGGCATACTATGATGTCTTTAGAACCCTTTAATGGCTTCTTCCTCCTAATATATGCTTTGTGTATCTTTTATACTATATTTTTAGACTTGGTGAGTGTGTTAGATTTAGGAATAGGGTAGGTCTGTCTTATTATAGACCCTGGGCAAAGCAGTGCCTACACAACACAACTCACATGTAAATTATCGATAAAATAAAGCTTATATTTATTGGTACCTCAAACCAAATCAGTGTTTAAACATTAAAAAACATGCTGTACAGCAGAGATTAATCCACACAAATGTTTAGTAGGTAGTAGGGTAAGGCGACTGACACAGACTGTTAAAAATATTAGAAGAACTTTATTATAGCTATACGAGTGTTGATTATGTCTTAATTATGTACAATTACGGTAGTATGTGTACGTTGTTTTCTTCAAGGTCAAGATATGTATTCACAACAGCATGATCGCATGTACAGATAACATCTGATACTGGGGTGATTAGTCCTCCTAAATGTTTTAATAAAGGTTCTGAATAAATCTCCCAGAATAATATACTGAAAAATCAGAAAAAGCCTATGGGGCCACCATGCTCGTGGGGCCCCCGGGCAATTGCCCAGTGTGCCCATGTGTTAAGACAATACTGGGATAGGGTTAGAATTAGGTCTACGGTTACTGTTAAAATTAGGGCAGTGTAGGCAATAAGGTCTATTATGTCAGAGCAGTTTGTCAGTACTGCCTAAAATTAGTCAATCCCACTTCAGTTTCAGCAGCCACATTTAAGTCAATAGGATGACAGCTATCATTTCCGTATGGATAAATAACAAACAAACATACAAAAAAACAACACTTTTATTAAGTTAATCTGAAATATGTGGAGCATAGTAAAGGAATTGGACATTTTTCCATAAATTGCCAAACAGGAAAAACTCTAAAATTCAGATACTTTTCAGTTTTGGCTCTTTGTCTTTGGTCTTACGTTTGCAATACTGCACAAAATGCTTGTTTAGTGAATAACCCTGAATGTCTATGAGCTTGTAACCAGTTTAGTCCACCATTTAGTCCAGTCCTGTTTGCCATAATTGTACAATAATGCAGCATGATGCAGCTAGTTTGTTAATACATGCATTCTCAGTTGACCATCCTATTAAGGCAAAGAGCACTCTGTGTTATAAGATGTGTTGACACCAAACTGGCCAGACGTGAGCCTAATATTTACTTGGGTTTTAATTTAACCTCTTTAGTTTCAGAGAGATGAGAACATATCTCAAAGAACTGGCTTGTACATCTCTCTGGGACTAATGGTTAATAAGTATTTAATTTCTGAGTGAGAATGATCTGAAGAACATTTTTCTCGAACTCTATATGGAAGAAGAAACTTCTGCATTTATTTTGAAATTCCGTAAATCAACTTATCAATTGAAATGCGTATGATAATTTCGTCACGCCTTTTTAATTCATGGAAAACTCTAGTTTTATCAACCATAGTGGATTTGCTATTGCAAAATCAACCTGCGCAATGACATATCTTCACTTTTTTCATCTGTGAAATGCCGCTCGTTGGGACTGTGGGTTTGCAAATTGTATGGCAGAATCGTGCGGTTATGTCATTCAGCAATATAGCAAATTGATTAAAGATGAAAAAGTAAATCCGATTTGGTAGTTTGCAAATGTAACCCTGAATATTGCCTGTTGGATAAAATGACTTTACATGCAAAGAAGTAGGGCTCATGCAGATATATTTTTCATATTTCTGCTCCTGAGTGCTCTGGTAGTAACAGTATCAGTTCAGAGAGATAGCCTAGCACAAAATATTGCAGCGAAACCCCCCTCACTCTGTCTCCAAAATGCTCCTGACATCAGTTTGCAGAGAACATTTGGCCACTGAGAGCAAATGAAGGCTATCTGTCACTTTCACCGTGCACTTTAATAACATCAACATAATGTGGAATATTAGATTAGCTTGATTAATCGGTCATTCATAATTAACTAGTGATAATGTTCTACACTAATTTGTCCGCGTCTCTAAGGTACTGGATTGCATCAGAGAACATCCATTTCCTTGCAATGGAAAAAAAATAATAAAATAAAAAATGCAGAAGCTCGCAGAACAGGCTCAGCATTATCATAGCTCTGAGTCCTACTTTTTTATATACGCTGGTTCTCCAGCGGCTGGGATTCTTGCATAAGAAAGCCCTTTGCAGCTTTATATGTGTGTGTGTGTTTGTGTAATCTAGTTTGCAAGGACATCTGGCTCTCTAGGGCAGGTGCAAAAATTATTAAACATTTAGGAAATGAGTCCCCCTATATAAATTCTTAATTTACAGATCTGGTTTTCAACCATGACAAAAACAAAACAAAACAAAAAAAGGAATGAAAAATGTTTCTTGAAGGGAATCATTTTCTGACTTTAAAATAAGGTTAATCTGCTAACTAGATGGAAAGATAGACAGATATGTAGGCTTAGACAACAGTATCAGTTTGTCTCAATCATCAAATATTAAATAAAATAGATACACACTGGTGTATACACTAAAAAGAATCACTAAAAAAAAACCTAAAAACAAAACTCCTCCAAAACAAGTCATTTGCCAGCCACAAAAAGTAGGTCTGCACTTCTATAAAAGCTAGAATGACACTTCGGGGTGAGAGAAACCCAAAATGGAAAAGTAAGGTTTTTTTTGGTCAATTTTAAACATAAAAAATAATTCAAGTGTAATTCGTTTTAACACATTTGACAGAATTTGTGTAACTGCTTATTTGTTGCATTATTTTCCTATTGCATACATAATTCTAACGTATATTAAGACTTCTTTAACTTTGTACAATGTCAATTGCTACACAGCTAAGCCACTAGGCCACTGACAATAAGGCCTGAAAGGGTTATGAAACCCTTTTTTTAACAATATATTTATTTTATTTTAAAATGCCCTATTGAGCACTTGTATCTTGCCCTGCTTGTAAAAAAAGATTAAAAAAAAAACTTACCTGGAATTCAGCGAGGATCTTCCATGCCCCATCCAAATTCATGCGGTATCAGTTCTTCCCTCTCTGTGGTCCAATGAAATGTGGAGAAGCATTTAATTGGACTGTTCTCGCTGGCTCAGAGTGCATGCGCATACTTTGAGCTAATGAGGGGAGTGAGTAAGCGGGGATATACACGGTGGGGAAGGGATTAAAACAAAATTAAAATAAGAAAGCTTTCCATATATGGAGCTGGGAAAGGAAGTGCACCAAGGGGAGGTAGGAAGTGCACCAAGGGAGGAAGGGAGGGAGGGGAGGTCTAGTCTTCCTCTTGCAGGTTAATTTTGCACAGAATTAACATTTGGTAGCCTTTACTAAGTCACGTGTCTTGTGAATATAACTAGCCCCCTGCACAAAAATTCATATTGCTTTGTATGTGCAGTATTTCAAGCAGAAATGCTACACATACAGATTCCTTCCACCATAACCATTTCTAAAAGTAGATGTGGTTGTGGTGGTTGGAGTAACCCTTTAATTGACATCTATAGAATAGGTGGTAAGTTATTTATTTCTGCCTCATCCCATATAATCTATCGATCTGTATAACACTGGATAGCATGCATAGAAGATACATTTTATAGAACTTTAGGGTTATAGGTGCTCCAAGATACTATCTTGTCTGGAGAAGGTAGGGGGGATGTTTATAGAAACAATGCCCTGAAATCTCACTCCTTGCTGCTAACCTAGCCTATACAGCACAGACCCATTGAGCTTGTATAAAGTGTTGATGATTTTCTTATATACAGAGTCAAAAGTAGAGAAAACAATGAGATCCCTTTGAATGGTTTATTTCAGAACATACACTTCTGACCTCAAAAGGAGACTCAATAAAGACTCTGAATAAGGTCACTCCTTACTGAGAATATATACAATGGTTACATAATCTAACTTATTTTACCAAGCAGGATGTGTTTTTGCACATAGTCACTCTTGCATTTGACCAATCCAAGTTTTAGAGTTTTTGCATTGACCTCTATCTAGACAAGGTTTGGGCAAATTTTCAGTGTTACGTAGAGCCTGTCCTAGAGAGGTAAAGATAGTATAGTCTGCACTGTATTTATAAACGGTACAAGTATAAATTCCTCCAGTGGCATATGTTTAAGGGGCTTATAACTGTAGCAGTTTGTATAAGCAATTGCATACAATCAAACATTAAGGAACACTGCAAACACCATAACCACTGCACCCCGCTCTAAGGGTTATTTTGCCCTCCCAGAGTAGGTAATCTGTTTGAACACTTACCTAGGTCTCCTTGGGCGACTATTACCTGAGAGCATCAGCTAAGTGCCAGGAATAGTTCAGTGTCAAAACGTCCAGCTGCAGCCGATAACTTGACTAGCTATTCTTATAAAAACACCATAACCACTACAATGAGATGTACATGTAGTAGTTATGGTGGTTGCAGTGTTAATTCACTGGTAAGTATGTATTGCTGAGGATATTCTCTTGCCATTGGCAGACACTGCTTGATTTATTATTTTTTAGAAACTGGCATGATTGTGATCTGTATTATCTGAACATATGCTGTTTGTCATGCCTAATGAGATCATAATTAAAAAAAAATTACAACAACAAAAATAAATTATCAGGCAGAAATATATCTCTTAGATTTCATGAAAGTTATTTCCACTTTTCCCACACAGAGAAATTTAGAAATCAGTAAGGAATGAGTTAAGGGGATTCTCCTGCACTGAATAATGTGCACCTATGGAAGCTATTAATAAAGGGTCTTTGTATTGCTGCTATTAATCACATACTGTCATTGTATTGATTTAACTTATTGCATAAATAACAAATAAAAAAACTAAATAAATAACAGGTCCATGAATATAAAAGTGTTAGTAAATAAAAAAAAATCACTCCCCATAGGTGGATCTCCCAGATAGTGAGAAATTTACCCAATGTACATCCCCACTTTTTAGATAAACTGCATTAAAGCAGTATGCTTTGGCCTAGTGGCAGGAATTTACATCCTTTCCTCCAAGTGGGTTCTGCAGCTGATTTTAAATTCCCCATTTCAGTGTGCTGCATTACCCCAGACTACATTCAATCTCTACTTGCTTATACTGTGAAATTATAAGGGCTATTAATATTTGGACTCATAATGAGGATATGCACCTGGTCCAAAAAAGCCATAGTCAGCCTCTGGCATAGAGACACATGCCAGAATATGGGCGGAAAGGAGGAGGCGATTGTGCATAAAAGTGGTTGGGGGGAGGGTTATGCTTACTATATAGTACCCTCTCACCCATTCAATGATGATTAATGTGCAGCAGACAACAGCCTCATGTTGTCAAACAAAACCCTAAATGGGGAAATGAACGAGTTTCTCCCCAGCCCGCCAGTACAAAGTCATTAAAATATGATAATGAAAAATAACTCAATTAAAGATCCTTCTAGCTCCGACCTTCGCTCAATTAAGAGACAAAGCTTCTGCTCAAGTGACCTAAATTTAGACTAAAGATACTCATTACTCAGCGATTGCCGATGCGTGGGATTAAAGGCTACTTAAATATAATAACGAGAATCATTAATTACTGATAACTAATAAACACCCATACAATGAGGAGACACAGTGCCAGTAACGTTTTCAGTGCTGGAGTTGGAACATGTTGCTGACCGGCTGTGTCTGGCCAAAGAACATAAAATTGGCCTGGAAAAATGGAAAATCCATTGTCTGTAGCAGCTGTTCCCCACTATTGTCAATTCTACAAACCAAAGGACGTATTTACTAAACAGTCAATTGTAGTGAATTGACTAGAGGTACAACATTTTGGCCTAAACAGAGATAAAAGAAGAAAAAAATGTGTAATTCAGTCAAGATGAAGATTTATCCAATGATGTTTGTAAATTTGGCCTGTCAAATCTCCACACACTATAAAATCCTACAGATTGGTAATAATGACACATGCAGGTCTAGTTAAGTGATAATTCAAGGTGAATTTTAAGTTTAAGACTAAAATAGCCAATATGAAAGCATGGCTGACTTATAGAATTTTGACAGTTGAACTATTTTGACCTTAAATTTGAAATTTACTTTGAAGTCTCACTTTAGTAAATAACACTGACAGTCTGTTTCACCATTAAAAGGGAATAGAAAAATTACAGTGGAACCTTGATTCTGGAACGCTTCCGCACTCAAACAATTCGGTATTCAAACAAAATATTTGAGATAAAAATGTCTCAGTATTAGAACAAAACTCAGTATTAGAACAAACTCATCCAGCATTAACCTCGATGGTACCACTTTGGAACCTCGTTGGTATGACACATCGGCCTCCTAGCACTAGACAAAGCAAACAGAGCTCCATTCTGTCTGCGAATAGAGCTCCATTCTGTCGACAAACATCTCCATTCTGTCAGCAAACAGAGCTGACAGGTAAAGTGAAGTTACATTTTCATTGTGTTTATTGGTTTTCTGTATGATTTTATGCATTGAAGGTATTATTAAACTGTAAAATGTGTGTTAAAATGCTGTACTTTTAGGGGTCTGGAACGGATTAATCTAATTTACATAAATTTTTATGGAAAATTTTGATTCGATTTTCGAACAACTCATTACTCAAACAGCCTTCTGGAACGGATTAAGTTCGAGTTCCGAGGTTCCACTGTACTTACAAATGCCTTTTTAGTTCTCCACAATTCTCCTTTGCGGAAATAAACCCCCTATGTGGTTGATAGTCTAATTTTTATAACAAATCATGAAAATACACTGCTTGGTCCCTGAAATAGCCAGAGACCTATAGATTTTAAACTTGCACATAAGGGTTTATTTCTACATGATGGTTATAGCCGTGGATCACTATTCTTAAAGGTATGCTATGTCTCTGTTGATGTAAGTCTGCTTATGGAATCCCTGGGTGAACTATGACTTTAAGGTCCCTAAAGCATCCACTGGGTCATCTGCCCCTAAAAAAAAAAATGAAAATTCCCCTTCCTTGAATGCAGTATGATTCTCGTGCTAATATAAAACTATCATATCCCTACTAAAATCAGTGACAGGGGGCATGGATTACCTTGATGCAATCAAACCATATATGATGTTTGATACTCAAGGAGGGCTGTAACAGTTTGTGAACAAAGAGTTTCAGCTGCCCAGTTAGTTGGGACAATTCAAATAATTTTTTTCTTTCCTGCTAAAATGATTCTCATTTGACTTTAAAGGGACACTATAGTCACCTGAACAACTTTAGCTTAATGAAGCAGTTTTGGTGTATAGGGCATGCCCCTGCAGCCTCACTGCTCAATCCTCTGCCATTTAGGAGTTAAATCCCTTTGTTTATGAACCCTAGTCACACCTCCCTACATGTGACTTGCACAGCCTTCCATAAACACTTCCTGTAAAGAGAGCCCTATTTAGGCTTTCTTTATTGCAAGTTCTGTTTAATTAAGATTTTCTTATCCCCTGCTATGTTAATAGTTTGCTAGACCCTGCAAGAGCCTCCTGTATGTGATTAAAGTTCAATTTAGAGATTGAGATACAATTATTTAAGGTAAATTACATCTGTTTGAAAGTGAAACCAGTTTTTTTTCATGCAGGCTCTGTCAATCATAGCCAGGGGAGGTGTGGCTAGGGCTGCATAAACAGAAACAAAGTGATTTAACTCCTAAATGGCAGTGAATTGAGCAGTGAAATTGCAGGTGAATGATCTACACACTAAAACTGCTTTATTTAACTAAAGTAATTTAGGTGACTATAGTGTTCCTTTAAAGAATACAAGACAATTTAACTTACTTGAGCCTGATAGGAATCAACAAATTCCTCCTAATCAGGTCTGAGCATCCTTCAATACACCTGAAAATTAACTTTATAAGGATGGAATGGCCATGCTGAATTAAGTTAGCAAGTGGGGCCAAGTAGCAACCATGTTAAAACTTGTAAATCATAAATTCAGAGGGTAGAAGAGGTTATTTAAACCCACTGCTTTCACATGTATACATTGGGATGACATAAAAATGCCTACATTTGCAATTCATGTGCTGACCTTATGGACAGAAACCCTACAAGTACAGTCAGTTGTTGGGGTAGTTTATAAGGTGCCCACAAAAACAAACCGCTACATACTGTCAGACAATCGCCAACCATTTTTGCCCTTTCCATTCATTTTCATGATTTTCCATAATCAGCCTGAGCCCAGTGTCCGCTCCTTCTCCCCATTCAACTTCATTAATTTTCTTTTTTTAAAATTCTTTATTTTATGTTGTGCCTAGGTATACAAGCAGACACCAGCTAACACAAGTATTTTGAAATAACATAGTAATGCATTTGTGTGGCATAACAGGAAAACTGCACATTTTATAATAATAATATAGTGAGGGCTAAGTCACAGTGATCAGAGAGGGGTAGCTATGTCATGTGACAACCATAATAAAAGGAACCCTCTGTGACCAAGATTGATGAGTGCTGAGAGTAGTGACATTAATAATAAAGTAAAAATTAAACGTTAAAACAAATTAAACTTGCCAGCTCAGAGATAGATAAGGCGGTTAGTGCACATGGATTGCGTTGAGCGGGGTATTGCAACATCAGCATAGTGTGTGAACACTCCGTAGACTCCTATCGTGGGTAGTTGGATAGTAAGGCCATAGGAAAATTTAAAGTAAGGATATAAACATAAGATTAGGCTCAGAACATCAGTTTTAAACATTTCTAACTAAGGTTTGCAATGTGAAGGCTGAGGGGAGAACTCAATTCAGCTGATACCCTCTAGGGCAGTGGTCCCGAACCCAGTCCTCATGGACCACCAACAGTCCAGGATTTATGTATTTCCCTGTTTTATTCCAATGGAGATACTGACAAAACCTGGACTGTTGGTGGTCTGTGAGTACTGGGTTGGAGAACACTGCTCTAGGGGTCTGGTATAGTCCTGCTGTAATCTGGCTGTCTTCAAGCATTGCGGCCCCGTCAGGGAGGTGCAGCAGGTTATAACCGGGAGAGGAAGCGACATCTCACGCTGTGAGACAGCTACCCAGCCAGGCATGAGGGTAAGTCCTCTAGGGCTGATGGGTGTTGGCTGGTAAATATTGGGATGGCATACCACTTTGTTCCTGCTGAACAAGCTGCCGTAGACATGTAGTGAGCTTGCGCCAAAAGTCAAAAAGTGGGACTTTTTAAGTGAGACTCCTGTTTAGATAGCGGTATAATGGTACCTTGGGGCTTCGGAGTCCCTGTCATGGTAGGGGTCACAGGGTGTGGACCTGGATCAACCCCTCTCCGTGGGAGAGGGGGAAGAGGGCCAGGTGCACACAGCCTTGGGAGTCCAGCTTGATATAGTTGAGCAGAATAGCAGGGCAACGGCCGTCCACCCTAATCACCGCCTGAGTAGGCCTCATTCTAGGAAGACGACAAATATTCTCCCAAGGGACTAGAACAGAGTTTGCAAGCATCGCCTTAGAATCAGCACTCCCTTGTGTACAGGACAACAGCTACCGCCGGTGCAATGATATTTGGGTACAGAGGCAAAGATAATTTTGGCCCCCCCACCCCCCAAAAAGCCACTTCACCTGTGTGCCTCTTAACCCGCCTTTTGTTTCTTATCCCCTTTACTGTATCTTATCCCCTATTTTTCCCCATTGTGTGTCTTACACCTCCCTTGTATATCTCTTACAATCCCCCCTTGTGTGTCTTACTCTCCCAGCCCCTTTGTGTTTCTCCTTCTCTCCCAACACCTTTGTGTGTTTCTCTTTCACCCCCAGCCCGTCTGTGTCTCTTTTTCCTCTTCTCTAGCCCCTCTGTGTCTCTTTCACCCCAGCCCCATTGTATTTCCACCCCCAGGGTCTTCTGTGTGTCACTTTCGTCCCCAGCCCCTCTGTGCATCTTTCTCACCCCCAGACCCATCTGTGTGTCTTTCTCTCCCCTCATGTCCCTCTGTGTGTCTTTCTCCCCACTCAGTCCCTTAGTGTGTCTTTCTCCCCACTCAGTCCCTTAGTGTTCCTCTCCCCTCCCCTCTATGACCCTTATTGATCCCCTCCCCTTCCTGCCCCATAGTGTTCCCTTTCCCTCCCCTTCCTGTCTCTTAATGGTCCTCTCCCCTCCTCTTCCTGTCTATTTGTGGTCCTGTTCCCTGTCCCTTAGTATTCCTCTCCTCTCCCTTCCCTGCCCCTTAGTGTTCCTCTCCTCTCCCCTCCCCTGTCACTTAGTGTTCCCCCCCTTTACCTGTCTCTTAGTATTCTTCTCCCCCCTCTTACTGTTCTTTTTCCCTTCCCTCCCCTGTCCCTTAATGTTCCTCCCACCACCTCTCTTAGTGTTCCTATCCCTTCCTCTCCCTCTCTTTTAGTGGTTGCCCCCTCTCCCTTGTTCCTTAGTGTTCCTTTCCCCCAGTCCCTTATTGCCCCTGTCCCTTAGTTCCCCTTCCCCCTCCCCCTGGTGCGCTCTCCTCCCTCCCCCTTTAGTGGTCCTCTCCCCTTTCCAGTGTATCTCCTACCTCTTTTGTAGCATGGCCGAGCGGAGCAGACCGCAGTACAGGAGCTCCAGTTTCCTGTACCAAGCCAGACTGATGGGAAGTGATCTCTCAGTGAGCACTTCCTGTCAGTCCAGCCGGGTACAGGAAACAGAAGCTCCTGTACCGTGGTCCGCTCCGATGAGTACTGGTAGGAGGGAGCACTGTGCGCCCACCGTCTGCTGGTCACTCTAATCTAGCATCCCCCAGGCCTTTCAGCATTGAGGTCAGGCCCTGTTCCCTGTCCCTTAGTGTTCCTCTTCTCTCCCTTTCCTGCCCCTTAGTGTTCCTCTCCTCTCCCCTCCCCTGTCACTTAGTGTTCCCCCCCCTTTACCTGTCTCTTAGTATTCTTCTCCCCCCTCTTACTGTTCTTTTTCCCTTCCCTCCCCTGTCCCTTAATGTTCCTCCCACCACCTCTCTTAGTGTTCCTATCCCTTCCTCTCCCTCTCTTTTAGTGGTTGCCCCCTCTCCCTTGTTCCTTAGTGTTCCTTTCCCCCAGTCCCTTATTGCCCCTGTCCCTTAGTTCCCCTTCCCCCTCCCCCTCCCCCTGGTGCGCTCTCCTCCCTCCCCCTTTAGTGGTCCTCTCCCCTTTCCAGTGTATCTCCTACCTCTTTTGTAGCATGGCCGAGCGGAGCAGACCGCAGTACAGGAGCTCCAGTTTCCTGTACCAAGCCAGACTGATGGGAAGTGATCTCTCAGTGAGCACTTCCTGTCAGTCCAGCTGGGTACAGGAAACAGAAGCTCCTGTACCGTGGTCCGCTCCGATGAGTACTGGTAGGAGGGAGCGCTGTGCGCCCACCGTCTGCCGGTCACTCTAATCTAGCGTCCCCCAGGCCTTTCAGCATTGAGGTCAGGCCCTGTTCCCTGTCCCTTAGTGTTCCTCTTCTCTCCCTTTCCTGCCCCTTAGTGTTCCTCTCCTCTCCCCTCCCCTGTCACTTAGTGTTCCCCCCCCTTTACCTGTCTCTTAGTATTCTTCTCCCCCCTCTTACTGTTCTTTTTCCCTTCCCTCCCCTGTCCCTTAATGTTCCTCCCACCACCTCTCTTAGTGTTCCTATCCCTTCCCTTCCCTCTCTTTTAGTGGTCGCCCCCTCTCCCTCATTCCTTAGTGTTCCTTTCCCCCAGTCCCTTATTGCCCCTGTCCTTTAGTTCCCCTTCCCCCTCCCCCTGGTGCGCTCTCCTCCCTCCCCCTTTAGTGGTCCTCTCCCCTTTCCAGTGTATCTCCTACCTCTTTTGTAGCATGGCCAAGCGGAGCGGACCGCAGTACAGGAGCTCCAGTTTCCTTTACCAAGCCGGACTGATGGGAAGTGCTCTCTCAGTGAACACTTCCTGTCAGTCCAGCCGGGTACAGGAAACAGAAGCTCCTGTACCGCGCTCCGCTCCGCTGAGTGACTGGTAGGAGGGAGCGCTGTGCGCCCACTGTCTGCCGGTCACTCTAATCTAGCGTCCCCCAGGCCTTTCAGCATTGAGGTTAGGCCCTGCCCCCTCAACTTCATTTTTTTAACTTTGTTGTTTCTTCAATTCTAAATGTGCAGTGTATCAAGCAGAAATGCTCCACATAAACACTCCTACCACCGTGACCACTTCAAATTACTGGAGTGGTCATACTGCTTGGAGTAACTGTTTATGACCCTCGAATGACCATAATCTAGTTCAGACAAACCACAGCCAGGGCAAACATTGCAAATGAAAAGGAGACATAGAAACAGTTTTTCATTTTCCTATTCTCTGTATGATTTTTTTATGCCAATTGCCAGGTACAAAGAATAGAGCTTATAACAATGATTGAAAGTCGCATAATAAACCGATGTGGACTTTCTACATTGATTTTATGTTTTGCATCTCAGAAAAACATATATTATAAATACAGGAATAAGTAAACAATTTTAAAAATCCCGGGAAAGTGACAGTTCCCTTTAAACCTATTTGAACAGTAGCCACATGTATTCATTGCCTGCTCTGTAAACCCATGTATGATCTGAAATTCACATGACTCAGGATTTTTCTAATAAAGTTGTGATCTCACTTCAATCCACAGGTTTGGTTCCAGAATCGGAGGGCAAAGTGGAGAAAAACTGAACGTGGCAGTTGTGACCAAGAAGGAGGAAAGGAAACTAATTCAGAGGTGACCTCTCCAAGCAGGAATCTTAGCTCACCTTCTGCTGGAGAGCCTCCGAGGTCCAAGAAGGACAGTCTGGATTCACAGCAGAGGTAAGATGCTTCTCTCACCCGAATATATGGCCAATAGTATTTCAGCACAAAACACACCCAGAGCTGCTGTCTTGCTCTGAATCATTAGTTTGCAAATTATCGAGAAAGGCTAATAGTGGTCTTTTTCTATCTAATACTCTTTATATATTGAAACACTCTATACCTTTTTTATATATATTTATTTAACATGAAAAAGGTGAGGATTTCTATCATTTGGAAAGATGTTATCTTTCTTAAGTCTTATTTATGTTTACATTCTGTTGTGCCCATGTTCATAAAATTCAGTTTTTTTCTTTGCACATATTTTCTCCTCAGTCCTCTTACTTTATTATATATGTGTTTATATATGATACATACATGTGCTTTCAGTTCATAGATTCACCTGGAGGAGTTGAAAACTGGCATGGGCTTAAAACTATAGGCCGTGTGTAGGATCGCTCTCCAGTTGTTAATAACCCACCTGGCACAATCCTCAGATAACATGTGACTCGGAATATAATTCATGAGGATAACTGGATAATTGAAGATCCATAGCAGATTAGCACATCCCAGATCTAGGCATGGTCTGAACATCTCTAAGAAATTAATTAAGCATTTGCCTGGAGTTCTATTCCAAAAGAAACACTCGGCACCTCTGATGGTTGCAACACTGAACACTGTTAGCATTCCATCAGATTCTGGCTCTTCTGATTGATTCCGGGAATTGCTGTCTAATCAGTATGCTTACAGATTCATGCAGACATGTAGAATTTGATGGAACAATATCTGCATCCATAGATACTCTGGAATCATCTTCCCCTCCCTGCCCAAATAATAATTGATATGGAAGGGTCGATAGACCACCCACCAAAATAATTATACTTCCGTCATGGCCATGGACATCCCCACAAGCAAAGTCTATCACACCCTTATGCAGGTACACCACCATACACTTCCCCACCTCTACCATTGAGTATTACAAACACACTGCAAGTAAGGGAGATGGGTGTTGAGATGGGGTAAGTCCTAGATTGAGAAAAATAGATATTGGTGAAGAGAAGAGTGGAAATGGTTGTGTTAGGATGAAAAAAGTCTGATAGACTAATGTAGAGGGGAAACAGATTGCATGACAATGATTGAAGTTTAACATAAAACTTTTGGAAAGTTGGGAAAAGAGTTAAGAGTATGATGTGACAGATATAGGAGGGGAAGACTAGAGAGGAAAAATTATGAGAGAAAGGGTCTTAATGGAGATGTTGGACACACAACAAGGTAACAGACTATATATACGTTTGCCTGGAGAGGTAAAGATCCTTGCACAGGTCCTGTATGTAAGACGATATACTTCATATTTTTATTACATCTTTGATGAAGCCCCAAAACCAGCATAAAAAGAAATTAATATGGCAGTAACATACAGAACACTTTGACAGATGAAGTCTTTATTATCAGTGGATATATATCTTTAGTTCTAAAGTCATGAGCAAGACAAAATGAAGATGGACAGATCAATGCAACGTAAACAAAGAGCACACAAGACCATTGCCATTAAACAAGCCAAAAACACATTCATAAATCTACGGATCCCTACATTTCATGTCATCAAATGTTGGAATATTAGGTTCTTTATTATGTACCAGTTAGTTTTTTCATGTTTTGACATCAATTTCACAAGTATAAATAGACTTGATCAGTGGTTCCCAACCCAGTATACAAGGCATATAGTTATATCCCAATTCTGCTTCAGTGGGGATACTGACGAAAACCTGGTGTCCACTAGTATGCCCTGAAAACTGATTTAGACTAGACAAGCCACTAAAGAGAGGTTTTACAAGTCAAAAGATGAATACATTACATTCCTATTGATACCAGTGATCATATTAAAGAAAATATGTGTCTAATATCATTGTTTGCTGTTGGTTGTCAAGTTCAGTAGGTAATCGTACCCATTCTTTGGTGTTTACAACACAGGTGCCTGACTCACGAGAGATCAGTGGGTCCAGCCACATCTTTCTTTCCATCCTGCTTGCCTGGAGCCATCCTAAACACAGCCAGCTACGCCCAAGCTCTGTCGCATGTGGCTTCACTAAAAGGTATGAATTCGAGAGGCAGCCAGTTGGTGCCGAAACGTTGGGGGGTTTGGTGACTCGTGTTTCTGTCTTGTGGCTTGTAAGAATCTTTTTGGTATTTTACCATTACTTTATTGTATTTGACCTTGCTTATGTCTGTGTTTATTTTTCTTGTATGTTTTCACTTTGGTACTTTGTGTACATAGTAAAGCTAAGTTTTTTGAGATTGTTATAGTGTGCATTCTATATTCTGTAGATATTTGAAACATTTGAGGGAGTGTTTATATGGTTTGCAACTGGCTATTTTAATACAACTTTGTGCTGTTGTTTTGAGAAGATGAATTCGAGAGTTGACCATATATTATTCATTAAAGAGACCTGGGGAAAGGTGCAAATATGCAAGTGCATATTACCTTTCCCTCTGTCAATGTGATTGTCTTTTATTATGCATGATATGGTTATCCATTAGTCTGATGGGTAAAATATTACACCTCAGAACAAAAAGAAAATATTTAACAAAAAGATTACATCTTGGGAATAGCATGCCAGTTGGAAATATTCCCCCGACCTACCGTAAGATACAATACATTTTTTTTTGCACTTTTTTGGGCCATGGGATATTATAACTTAAACACTCTGGGCAGGTATTTATTTTATGAATTGCTTAGACCTCAGTAACATTGCTGTTTAAGGCTTTATTTGAAAAGACCATATATTATAGATGAGCATATATTGGACACTATCAGATCAGCAATGTCATACAATAGAGCAGGTGAATTTCTGAGCAGTCATGGAAACCTCAAAACTCTGAAATAGGCCCACATTCTGTACACTGTTCAGTAGGATGCTACATAGACAGGGGTAACCGTCACATCCCAGATTTTTATGAATTGCATCTGGGACGTGCATAGCAGAGCACACACCTTTTGTCCTCTTGCACAGCTTGGAGTGCAGTCTGCTTTCCCCGTATAAACATGTGTTTTAATGTCCACGACCGGTACAGGATGCACTGCTGATAGTGCGGTCTGTCAAAAGAGATTTCCTGCCTTAGCAATTACTTACAGCTAAAAGCATCAAGGGCCTGTGGATTCACCCAATCCAGTCACATCCTTTAATGGCTGGCAGCATACCTCGACAATTAATTAATATCATTCATTTATTAATTGGGAAGCAGCAGGATTTGTCCTTCTTCAGCCTCTTTCAGAGCCCAGACAGATAGTTCACAAACAGTAGAGAGACTTTTTCAAGAGATCAGCTCAATGTTTTTTTCTTGCTATGTAATCACCTTTCTATTTTTACCTTGATTGATGGTACCTCTTCTATTGAGCAAAGCAAACAGAGCTCTATTGGTTGAAATGTTTTATTCTGTTCATATTCATGGATGTGCAGACTATTAGCAGGCCACCTTCATCAATAATGGGACCTTGACTGTCTTCTGTTTCAAACGAATTTACATCCTAGAAGAAACAGTTTCACAGTTTATTCTTCAATTGCCAAATACAATTCCAACAGATTAAAATTTATGATTGCAGTTCAATGCATGAAAAACACATACAGTCAGACAAGAGATCACACCTATTCTCCATTAAACTGTCAAAAACTGTTACAATGGGCAAACTGAGCATCTATCAGTCCCTTTATGTAAGATATTTCTCTTAAACTACAGGGTGGCCCATAAGTCCCTACCCATCCATATATCTTATGTATCCAGTGTATCTGTGTGCTGTATGGGTAGGGACTTATGAGCCACCCTGTAGAATGGAAGTGTTTTTGTTTTGCCAATGAGACAGTCAATCCATGAAGTCTTTTTGTTATGTAGAGGACAAAGGCTATGCTGCATAGCAGGTGATTACAGCCGCTTTGAGTATACCGTAGGTGAATAAGGGGTAGATAACTGTATAAAAGCCAATGATCAGTAAATTGATATCATCTTAACCGTATTAGTCTCATGACTTTGTTTATATTTTCAAGTCAGACAGTGTTGTGGTCAAGGTTCGGTGGTTTAACAGGACTTAACCTGAACTCTGTATTTAAGTGCATTGGTTAACAAAATGCTCTGCAGATCGCATGTCATGCAGGTGTGGTCTGCGTCTGCATGTTCTGTTGCAACGCAAAATATTAAATGATTACTGATCAGTAGGTTTCTCCGGCCAATGGAATTGCTCTCCAGGTCTTTATCACAGTGCAGTGATTACGTGGTTAATTACTGTTCCTTTGGCCTCTCTCTTCCTTGAAAATACTCTACATGTCTTTCTGGGGACTGGAGACAAGATTAAGGTCTGTTTCCAGCGGTCGATTTGTTTGCCTGTGTACGGAGCTTTGATCAGAGGTGGGGAGGCGAGGTTTTACTTGCGTGGGGGCTCTTCCTGTCAGACTCACGGAATTGATCCCCCCCCCCCCCTCCAGGGGAGGCTGGATTATTATTACATTAAGTATTAATCTGTTTAGATGATCTCACCATGAGATGCTCTGATTCAGCACTATATCTGCAGCTAATGGAGAGGTAACCCTTTCACAACCAAGAGACTTGTAACAGCTTCAGCATACAAAAATAAAAAAATAAAATAAAAAAGATTATGTAAAAGCCAAAGCTTGGTTTATAATATATAGAGAGCAAAGGCTACACTGAGTATGTGGGAATAATCAATGTCTGGAATTTGGTTGATACTTAGTTTAGCTTAATGATGCATTCAATTGCTATGCCATCATAATACACTATGCCTTAACCCCTTCATTACAAATAACTTGCCAGGATTACCACCATGATTACCGAACCTGCCAAATCTATCTTACTGAAAGCGTTAACCCATTAATGTTCAGTGTGATATATGAGGTATGTCATGTGATAGAGTTGTTTCCTGTTGTCTGGTCCTTAATGGGTTAGAGAAGAAACAATATGAAAAATTGAAATTTGTGATTTCTAAATTCCAATTTGTTTTGCAGAGGTACATAAGGGTTTATTTATTAAGCAGTGAAATGAAAACCTGAAGTGAAAAACCTTGCAGCCATTTTGAAAAAAATAATCTCCCATTTTCTTAATTCCCTTTATTGAGAATGTGTGATTAACGTTGGCGACTAAAGTAAAGCCTGGTTTTAAGTCAATAATGATTTCTAACTTTGTGGCATCACTGATAGAAATAGGTTGTGATCATGTAAAAAAATATGCACATAATACCATCAAAGTCAGTAAATGTAATTGATCTGATATAGAAGCTGGATTGTAATTTACCCTGGGAGATGGAAGGAGCTGTTCCCCCAATTCCTCCAAATCAGGCTTGCCCAGACTCTGGCTCTCCAGATGTTGCTGAACTACAACTCCAATGATTCTATGAATTAAATAGATAGGCTGAGAATCATGGGAGTTGTAGTTCAGCAACATCTGGAGGGCCAGAGTTTGGGTACGCCTGCTCTAAATGAACCAGTGCCTCAGTTCCTAATGTTGGCATTAATACTAAGGCTTGCAAGATGTCACCACTATAATTTAAGAAAACGAAAAACATGAGGATATCTTTCGCTATACATACATTTAAAGCCTGAACGTTTTCTTTCTCTGACTATATAAATGTATTAAGTGTAGCTTTAATATCCAAATTAACTCCAAACCTATTATCAGTGTTAGCCTGTATATGTGCCTGTAACAACATTGTTATTACATTAGATGAATTCGATTTGTTAATCAAGGCAATACTCAAACAATTATCAGACCATTACCGGACTGTGCTCTGGAGTGGTCCAATGTTTTAATAATCTAGGCTAATACCTGTAATTTGCATTAGTGGGTATTTAAAAAGGTTATCCAGTTTAAAGAGCAAAGCTAAATTCAAAAGAATTTGTCCTAAGAAAGAATTATATCACTTCCACTTTATGGAATAAAGTGTACCCTTGTTAAAAACAATGGCTAAGTCGGGTTGTAGGTAACAAAATAATTGATGTCACAGAAGGGAGAGCTTCTCATTTACCCCTTCCTGTGGCTACCCTTAAGAAGTGGCAGCTAACCATTTGAAGAGGCAAAGTGTTTAACCACATACCTCCTAATTTCACATTTAAATAAAGTTAATTCAGTTGTGTTAAAATATCTGCATAAGTCCCATCATAAAGTTGACTCCTGGTACATAGGTACTAAAGACAGGGGCAATGTGGGAATTTTCAACCTACTGAGAAGTAGAATTTAATGGACAGTAATGAAATTTCACAGACACGATTAGCATACAAATGTTCCAATAATATCTGTGCACACAGGTTATCACTAACACCCACTGAGCAAAACTGCACAGACAGCCTTAATGGAAACCTTCATATTTCTGGAGATCACATCACTGAAAAAATATTGACAATCACATTCAGTTTGTGTTAACCTTCTTTTTTTATTGTGATGCTCTCTTTTCTTCTAAACATATTATTTAGTAACTGATACCATAATCCAGTCCTGGCATGGTCAGGGCACACATAGCATTTGGTGTGTATACATAAACAGAAAAGGGGTTTAATTTACAAAATGGACGAGCTCATTTCCAAAATAGAACAGTATGGATTTCAACATTTGTTAAACTTAAATATAGAGAATATGTAAACATAGGGAAAACACTGGGAAAATTTAGTTCCATTCTAAGGGAGGTTCAGAGATTGGATACAGTATGACTATCTGAGCCCATTTTATTATAGACTCCATTTTATTATAGATGTTCCCATAAAGAAATAAAATCAAAACCTAACAAGTTATTCGTCCACCATTTATTCAGTTCAGTTTCCTCTGTCTATGATTATAGCATTAAATTATATTTCCCTTTCTCTCTCTTCTATTGCAGGTGGGCCCCTATGCTCTTGTTGTGTGTCTGATCCTCTGGCTCTTTCCTTCCTACCTCCGTACAGCTGCCAGAGTCATCGCACAGCCAGTGTGGCGGCCCTTCGAATGAAGGCGCGAGAGCACTCTGAAGCTGTGCTGCAATCTGCACAACTTCTGCCCCCTCCAGGGAGCAGCTCAGGGGCCCCAACAACTACACCTCATGAGGGTGGTCAAGAGAGAGCTCCACAGGGGCAAGAACAGAGTGACAACAATGAAAAGAACGTATGAGGAAATTGCACGGATGTACATTGTATGTGGGGAAAATAAGCTGGGAACTTTGGCCTACGAAGCCAAAAAGTGATACCACCGCGTGCACCCTGCAGCAACTGGACCAAGCTAGCTATGTTTCAAACGATCTCACCACTGCTTGTTTACACAGAGATGGCTGACTCATTCCAGGCTTTACGGAAAAACTTTCAATCTTGGTTGCCCGAGTTTTGTGTTGAGCATAATTTATGGAAACCAGTTCGACAAATTTAGCCAAGGACTATTTAACTGACATGGGGTGGGGTGTTGGCTCGGATGCATCAAATTTATATAAACAGCGGACCCACAGGGATTTGGATGACGTCAATATGACTCAAGAAGACTGTAGCGAGGAGTGAGATAAACAAACTCTTATCTAACCACAAGTCGATCACAGGGTAGTATGTTTGTCCATGCAGACCAAATATCAGTATTGGAAAAAAATAAATAAGAAAACATCCTTAACAGAAACAAAGCCTGATGGACTGAGATTCAGCAAGCCCTATTTATTCAGTATATTTATGTATTTATTTTCTCATAGGAGGAGACTCATTTTGCGTTGGGTATTACAAAAGACATGATTAACCATCTCCATCACGTAAAACTTTAAACCATAAACCCTAAAGTCAGTATTGCAACCAAACAGCAATCCTTTGCCTCAACAGCATCTTTGCTTCTAAAGGCCACATTACCATCTACGCATTAACTGCTTCCTTATCACGTATAAAAGCTTATTTGAATATATTTGCAGAGCATGGCTCCAGCAGTCCCCTAGCTTCTGTAAGGCAACATGTGATTACAGAGGCAATGCGATTCTCTTGGATGAAATTCTGCCTGAAACAAAGGGCTGGTGATGACAGTGACCCCCTCCTTTAATTCATGCTGAGTTCTATTACAATATATTTACTTCCATATGCTTTCTGTAAGGTGAGGTGCCAACCCCAAGTCTGCCAGCAGAGGGAGCTGCTTACCTAAGTTATCTTTATGAGCCAACGCCATGCAAGAGGTCACATGATTCCAATAAAAATAAAACGTTTAAAAAAAAGGATGCTACTTTTAACAAAGATCTCTTTAAAAGCCAAAATTTGAGGCTATTTAGTTCTTTCAAGTCTGTGTTCATTTTCTTTTAAATTGAAGTACAATAATCAAGCCATTTCCGGTGTTGGAGGTGAAGGGTTTAAGATTGCAAACTTGTATTTAGCAGCTGTAAGACTGTGCGCCATTGTAGAAATAAAAGTATTTAATGCAGATTATTTATACATCACTTACAAAATTCCTTGATCAGATTCCCTATTTTCTTTATGGGGAGGACATAATATACACTGAAATACAAACTTATTTTACTTTTCTAAACATTTTTGGTGCTAGAAATAAGGACTTTGGAGGTAAAATATTCATTTTACGGAAGCCTAGGGACACATTTCCCTTGATGGAATAATATATGCACCTGTTGATGTGGAGAATAGATAATGCTATCTATGATTGGTTCCTTTTGAATCTCTTCACATGCTATGATACAGTGCCTTTGTATACAGTGGCACAATGGCTTATATAACTGAAAGTGAGATTATCAGGCTGCGCATGCATGCAATCCCTGTGCTTTTCACTTGATCAGTATTCAAAAGAATAGAACCCAGTGAGCTCCAGACATGCAGATGACACATGAACCTGTAAAATCATCTTACATGAAATTTTGATACAAAGCTCTCTTTGAGGAGGCAGGTCGCTCTGTGTGTACTATGGCTTTGCTGCTGCTCCTAAAATGCTTCTGCCCCCTTCTTTAATTTTTACCTTAAAGGGGCTGTTTGTCTGGAAAATCAGGACCTTTAGTTTTGCAATTGGCCGCTGATTCAAACTGTCAGGGTCGGTTACAAAACGTACTGGTACATTTCTTTATAATTTACTGTAATTGTGTAAAATATGTAAAAGTATCGGCAACCTCCTCAAAACATTTTGTTCACAGAATAATAAACTTTACAGTTCCTTGAAAATTTTTACAAAAAATGTATTTTGGCAGCTGATTACCTATATAAGTACACAGAGTAAACTGTGGAATATATTAATATTATTGACAACCATAATTGTAACTAACAACAGAACTCATGCTATGTTGTTAGAAGAGGAAAAAAAGAGAAATTATTCAAAAGCAATTTTTTGTCCTTCACTATAAGACCACAGTTTTGCAGCTGATTTAAATATGCTATTTTTTACCTTACTTGGCCAAACTCATAAGTTTAAAAACGAAAAAAAGTTTTAAAAATGAAAATGTATTTATGTTAATCCATTTTGTGCTACTTATATGTTATGTGTCTAAAATAACTTAAAACGATAATAAAAGAAAAACGATTTTACTTGTGTTTTCTTCATTGTTTTTTTCATTTCGCAAGGTGACTTTACCCAGAAGGCCCGGTGCTATCAATGTCTGTCTGTCACCGGCCCAGTCGTGGGAATGAAAATGCCTCCATGGCTACAAGTCTCTTGTAGACTTGTATCTGAAGTTTAAAATAAGCACACAACATCACACAGTCACATTATCCCTGCCACTCATGTCCGATGTCAGGTCATTGACAGTGTCCACAACATTCTTATGCCAAGTCATGTCAGGATGACTCCCAAGATTTTGAATCGCCAAAGAGGGACACTTTTGTTTTAGGGATGTGGCTCTAAGTGAAGTCAGAAGGAGGTCATATTAGGTCATTTCATGTCCTACTGAAAAGTCATTTAGACTGGCAACATATTTTACTTAACCCTTAATGAGTGAAGATTTTCTATTTTTCTAAGTTTCTATGCATTGGTGACTAAGCAAATTTGGCACTTACATTATGTTTTATTAAGTGCAACCATACATATTATATAGTGTATTGTTCTTTAAATATAGGGCTTTCACTAAATTTATATATAACATAAATATTAAGTATGAATACTAGTGTAGAAAAAATACTATTTATGACTGCACAACTAGTCAATCTAAAGAAAAATACCTCAAAACAGATTGTAAGAACACTCTATTGATAATTTGGTAGATATACCCACAAATACACCATGCATCTATTTGTTCATGCATGTCTTCTTGGGGGGTATATGAAAAATAAAATAGTTTTTTTTCACCCGTAGCCTTTGCAAGCACCCCTCTCTTACCCAACCACAGACTTTCATCTTTGGCAGGGAGTACTTCAATCAGAGACATTGATAACTCTCTGTGCTGGAGCCACAATCCTGTAGTACAGCTTAATGAGAATGTGGAAAGGCAGACGATAGCACAGCAGGCCTGCTGCTTCTGTTGTTACCCTTAAATATAAAAGTGTCTGGGGCAACCTCAGATTGGGTTTTGCTTAATTGCCTTGCATGTTAAGCACCCAGAAATAGTCTAGTGTGTGCCAAAATTGCCCCCATTCTATCCTATGATAATGGCCATTCAATGGCTAAAGCAGAGTACCATAGGGATCAGATGTGTGTGTGTGTTTGGAGGGGGGGATTAGTTGTAAAGCCTGTTTGGCCATGTGCAGAGCTGAAAGGAACACTCCAAGTGCCATGACCACTTTTGCCTGCTGTAGATGCTCCCGCTGTGCTCAATGCTCCTGGAGGAAGTCTCGCACCCAGTCAGACTTTCTCCATTATAGATTCATATTGTGTTCATACAGCGCAGCCCTTGCCCTCGCCAAACAGTCCTACTTTTCAACTCTCATTAGTTCATGTTCCCGCAATCCCAGGCGTCTCTTTGACATCTTTAATTCTCTTTTTCGCCCTGCTGTGGCCCCCCCCCAAACTAACCTTACTGCCGGTAGCTCTGCATGTTACTTTACCGACAAGATTGAACAGCTAAGAAAGAATTCTCCCCTCCTTGCCATTCTCTTTCTCAACCACACATAGATCATGCTTTTACTACCCTTCAGACATTCTCCCTGGCTAATGACCAAGAGGTGGCTCTTCTTCTCTTTTCCTCTCGCCCCACCACTTGCCCGCTCGATCCTGTCCCATCTCACCTTATTAGATCTCTCTCCACTTGTCTTGTGCCTTCCTTAACGCACGTCTTCAACTGCTCTCTCTCTTCTGGCATTGTCCCTGCTGACCTTAAACATGCCACTGTAGTACCTATCCTGAAAAAAAAATCTCTTGACCCGTCCTCCCCGTCTAACTATCGTCCTATATCCATGCTCCCTTTTTCCTCAAAGCTTCTGGAAAGACTTGTCTTTACCCGTGTGTCTCATTTCCTCAATTCCAACTCTCTCCTTGACCCCCTTCAATCTGGCTTCCGCCCTCTCCACTCTACTGAAACTGTGCTTATCAAAGTTACTAACGACCTAATCGCAGCTAAATCCAAAGTCCACTACTCCATACTAATTCTTCTTGACCTCTCTGCTGCCTTTGACACCGTTGATCATGCTCTCCTTCAAAACTCCTTCAAACGCTTCAATCACTCAGGTCTCTGTGACTCTGTTATCTCTCCCAATGCTCATTCAGTGTCTCCTTTTCTAATGACACCTCCTCCCCTCGTCCTGTCTCGGTTGGAGTCCCCCAAGGCTCTCTACTTTGCCCCCTTCTATTTTTGCTTTATACTGCCTCTCTTGGCAAACTCATTACCTCTTTTGGATTCCACTATATCTCTCCTCCCCAGACCTCTCTCCTGTCGTCCTGCAACGTGTCACTGCTTGCCTTTCTTCCATCTTTGACTGGATGTCCTCCCGCTTTCTGAAACTGAATCTCTCCAAAACTGAGCTCCTTGTCTTTCCTCCTCCTAATACTGATCCTCCTCTTACGCTCTCCCTTCAAGTTTGTGGTACCCACATCAGTCCATCCTTGCAAGCGCGCTGTCTTGGTGTCATACTTGATTCTGGCCTCACCTTTGAGCCTCACATCAAGTATGTTGCCAAATCCTGTAGATTCCATCTTAAAAACTTACGCAAGATGCTACCAAGGAGCTTGTCCATGCTCTAGTAATTTCCCGCATGGATTATTGTAACCCTCTCCTGATTGGTCTTTCCAAAAGCCATACTGCACCGCTACAGTCCATAATGAATGCTGCTGCCAGACTGATTTTCCTCTCTATTCGGTTCTGTCACACCTCATCCCTCTGTCTGGCCTTACATTGGCTTCCTGTATGTTATAGGAGTCAATTCAAGGTACTAATTTACACCTATAAAGCACTGAACAACTCTAGCCCCTCTTATATAGTTCCACAGATCCATAGGTATGTTCCTTGACCACCTCCTGTCCGTTGTTCGCACCCGTACGGCCAACTCACGCTTGCAGGACTTCTTGCAGGCGGCTCCTTTCCTATGGAATAGCCTGCCTACCGCCATCAGACTCTCCCCTAGTCTTGCATATTTTAAGAGTGCCTTAAAACCCATCTCTTTAGGAAAGCTTATGGCCTCCCTCTACCTCAAATACCTGTCTCTTGCTCTCTCCTAAGGGGCAGCCCATCTTATTTGATTGCAAATTCCTGTCCTGTTGTGTTTTACACCCCACCTCCTGTAGAATGTAAGGGTCAGCAGGGTCCTCTCCAACCTCTCGTTCCTGTAAGTTCTTTGTAATTGTCCTATTTATAGTTAAATCCCCCCTCTCATAATATTGTAAAGCGCTAAATCTGTTGGCGCTATATAAATGGCAATAATAATAATAATAATAGTGGTTATGGTGCCAGAAGTGTCCGGGCGACCTCCCATTGTAAGTAGCTTGCAAACGGTGTGACAAATTACTTGTAGTTTCCCGGATGCTCTTGCTGGAGCTTCCATTAGCTCCCCTGAAATGAGTTCTGCAGTGCAAACTCGGTTCATTGGCTGAGAGCATCAGATTCAGAGAGTTAAGCCCTGAATTGTAAGGCTTAGTTCCACAGGAGTACTAACCAGCTCCCGGCCGGACCCCAGGTTGGTTCTCAAACCATTCATACACCTACCGGATTGTGCTCTGGAAGGTTGCCAGGGAATTCCTGGCACCATAACAACTACAGTGTGGGCTAATCATCCCCACTGCAATTTGTCTTTATATTAATAAGTTTTTCTTCCTTGTGTCAGATCTCCATACCTGGGTGCCTCCAAATTGTTTATGTTTGCACTATGCTCTTCTGTTATATTCTTTTGATTGATGGATTGTTTGTAGCTTAAAGGACCACTCTAGGCACCCAGACCACTTCAGCTTAATGAAGTGGTCTGGGTGCCAGGTCCAGCTAGGGTTAACCCATTTTTTTTTTATAAACATAGCAGTTTCAGAGAAACTACTTTGTTTATAAATGGGTTAATCCAGCCTCTAAAGCCTCTAGTGGCTATCTCATTGACAGCTGCTAGAGGCGTTTGCGTGCTTCTCACTGTGAAATTCACAGTGAGAAGACGCCAGCGTCCATAGGAAAGCATTATGAATGCTTTCCTATGAGACTGGCTGAATGCGCGTGCAGCTCCTGCCGCGCATGCGCATTCAGCCGAAGAGGAGGAGAGGAGGCGGAGAGCTCCACGCCCGGTGCTGGAGAAAGGTAAGATTTTAACCCCTTCCTCTCCCCAGAGCCCGTCGAGTATGTTTTCCTGGCACTATAGTGGTCCTTTAACAACTGAAATTTAACTTTCCTTAAACGCTCCTCATTGCCAATGATTGCCCAAGATCAAGCTCCCCTATAGAAAAAAAGTCCCTACTTTTTTAATATACAACAAGAAAAGCAAGGTGAAGACCAAAAGAATAAAAACAAGGAGAAACAGAGGGACCAAAAAAAAAAAAATAATTTAAAAACAAAACCTGCAGAGTGACAGAGCCATGTTAAGCAAGGCTCCATTTCAGTTGCTACACTACTTTAAAATAATAGAAATTATTAACTATT